CACAGGCTTGGAATGAGGCGCGTGCACCGGCGCCCCGACATGATGCGATTTGATGCCCCGGGCTCCACAGTGACCACTACTAGGGTAGATGAGGCTCGTTAGCTGGGGACAGCCACTCTTCTAGGAGAGACAACTCCAAAATCAAACAACTGCTGCCTTGTAGTTTGTTCTTGGTTGGATAAAGGCTATGGAAGCAAATCCAAAAAGTAAAGCAGGCTGAAATTGGAGTCAATGGCCTCAATGGCGCATAACCAGTTGACAGGTATCTTTAATTGTGTTGGAGGGGGATCCCTTCCAACACTAAAAATTAAGAACAAAGAAGAAGAAAAAGTGATCACTATGGCTCCTACGTTCGTTTTAAGAGCACAGTAGATACACGATGGCACACAACATTCGTTGAACAAACCGAGTTAGGGGCCCCGCTATGTCGCCTAGGCCGTTGCTGGTGTGTTTTTTCCTCAATATCACGTAAGATAGTTACCGTATATTCAAGACTTACATACAGAAAGAGCGTCAGGCATGTAGTGTGAACAAACCCGCACTCCAGCTACTATGATCCAAGAAATATACCGCCTGCTTTGTTTATATTTAAATAACTCAGTTGTAGGTAACGCGTGTACAAATAAAGGATTGGTAACGCATAAGATGAAAACCTCTTAAATCAGCCTTTCTTCTAAGCGCCGGTGACGGGTGCATAAGTATAATATATAGTACACATTCTTCTAAATATAGTTTTCATCAAGCTGTATCAACAGGAGCTGATCAAAACAACTTAAATATAACAAAACAGTTTTAAATCCAAAGAACTTCTATCAGCGAAATATATATATATATATATATATATATATATATATATATATATATATATATATATATATATATATATATATATATATATATATATATATATATATATATGTCATTTCAAAAGTATAAATAATGAAATATTTTTTAATAAAAGGAATGTAAATATTAAAATTTAATTACATATAGAAATACAATTGAAACACAGACCCATGTATAAAGCTAAAGGAGAAGATTCAACTTTTCTTCGACAAGTGCAGATTATACAACTCTTTAATGTAAAAATTGTCTACCATAACAAGCGTCATAAACATGTCAAGACGAAACTTTACTGCAGTATATTATCTTTTGTTGCTCTTGTGTACAATTTCACTTGCAGTATTTAGACCAGTATCTTACAGGCATCTCTTTGAATGAAATGGAATTTATATAGAAAATATATACTTTTAACAGTGTCCCCCCAGCCACGAAAAAATGTTTAGTCACCCCCCCCCCCCCCAAAATTTCAAGTGTCCCCCCCCCCCCTCCGAGAAACAAGTCTGGAAGAAACACGGATTTCAAGAAACACGGATTTCATCAAACTCAACATATACATTTTATCAGTGGAAATAACTCTAGTAATACTTTACTAAAAACGACGTATAATTATCTACCTTTTATATTACGTGAACCACGTTATATATATATCGGATGTCGTCTGTCCTACACTACCGTGTAATGTTAACTTAGGATTTTGTATGTCCTACGATCTCAATTACTGTCCACTTAGATTAGATCTTTGTGTTCGGGATGTAGGCTACAATTACGTACTGTCAATATATAAACGACCTTTTATATTGTAATTTTTTAAGTACTTGATACACAATTTTAGAACAAATATATGGTCTCATAATGTGGTCTCTTGTTGTGATCTCATGTTGTGTTTTCATGTTTTTATAGCCCAGTAATTTATTTATTTTGAATAATAAAACATCCCCATCAGAACAATAGCCTAACTCTACTAATTCAAATTAAAAATAAATGAAACAAAGGAAATTTAATACTGTCAGAGTGTCCTAGTGACCCAATTATATTTAGGTAGCGTTCAAGTGAGGCTGCATGTTGAATGTATTTATTGTTCAAATAGTGTACTTTATTAATTTTTTGGTATTTAGTGTTGCATAATGCACACCAAAAAAAGACTATTACATCTTTCCAACACGTTTGTAAAATGAGTTATTTCTTAGAAATGGCGCTTCTATTAAATGTTAACAGACACGCCATTTATTTAGCTCTACACACCAGTTATCTGACCTTGGTCTCTAGTCTTCTCTATAGCTGATGTCGAGGGGAACTCATATCTGTCAATGTTGAGAACTATGTTTACCCAAAGGTCAATCTTGTGTAAGAGTTTCAGTATTTTAACTGGCAGATAAAAAGTTGGGGGTCTAGGCAAACACAAGATAACATTTGCAAACGCTCTTTAAGGTTAGATAAGGTATTCGAATAAATTAAATCACACAACGATATTGACAAACTGTCTGACAGAAAATAGACTTTAAAATCGAGATTTGTCCTACACAATATAAACCGATAAGGTTGCTGACATTTTTCTTATCATAGCTCAAAACACGGCTAAGACACGTATCTTATTTGAATACAGCTCAGCTTGTCATTGGATCTGGACCTCAGTTTTTGTGTCACCAGTTTAAGAAATTGGATTTTCACTTCCTGGTGACGATAACGTCCTAGCAAATTAAAAATAGTAAGTTTTTCCTGGTTAAAATTATTTCTTAACTGCTTTTTTCTGATTAGCGTTGAATTATTTTGTCTCATTTGAAAATGCAACAAATGCTTTATCTAAAATTATTTATAACGATATATCAAATAGGCCTATATTAAATTTAGAAACAATTAAAAACAAACAATATTCTCTACTTTTTACCTTGTGGTAGTCCGAGGTAAGACGTTTGTAAGATTTCTAGCTCCAAAGTAAACCAAATTTATCAGCCATAATACTTCTCTTTCGCCAAGTACATTGTTCTACTCTACAAATACCCTAAAATCTAATCAAATGATCCCCCCCCCCCCCTTTAGTTTGTGCTAGAGCTCCAATAAAAATGACCAGCTCCATATAGTTAGCAACTTAAGAACGATAACAGTTTACTTATATATTATATTTTTACGATGGAAAAGAAGGAAAAAAAAATTGAGTAAAAAATATTAGATTACCTACATATTGAATTGTTTTCTTACTTAAGTTTAATAACACTTAAATTATAAATTCTTCCTTTTTAGCTCAACTATAAAAAAACTAGTTTTTACCGACATTTTAAAGTGCCCTTATGTATAAAATTCTTAACCTTAAGTTTTTATTTACTTAGCTTGACATGAAAGACAACGTAAGTCTTAACTTAATTTGGCCGAACGAGACATATGTAAACATTTTTGGCTTCTTTGTTATAGGGTGCGGAAAATAAATTAAATTACTATATGAGATGAGAGAAAAAGGTTAATGTGGTTGAAAGTGCACCGTTTTGGGGAAAATAAACTTAAACATTTTAATGATTTGTCAAGTATGGCTTGTGAAGTATGACTTGTGAAGGTTGACTTGTGAAGGTTAACTTGTAAAGCATGACTTGTAAAGCATGATTTGTTAAGCATGACTTGCAAAGTACGACTTATCAATAACAATCAGTGCATAGACAGCCAGTGTTATAATTATAAAAACCCCGCGATATAAACTCCCTGGACAAAAACCCCCCAATTGAGGTTTATATAAGGAAAAACCAAAGATAATGAGAAACAAAATTAATATATAAATACAAAACAGACATTAGAAAAAAACTTTTATTTTTATTATAACTTTAAAAAGACAGATTGTGAGCGATGCCTCGCAAATACTCAATAATGGTGGACTCATTAAAATTTTTAACAGCAGTTAAAATTCGAGAGCTGCTATCAATATATGGTTTTTTTTCTGTTTCTAACCCCGAGGCAATGCGCGGGGACGGGCATATTAGATTTATATACTAGTTTACAAGGTTAACTTGAATTTGCAAACAGAAATACTTATGTGCGCGTATTTTACACAATAAATGATGAATATTTCTATTAATATTTTTAATTCAAATGAATTAATCAAAGCCCTATGTTAATATTAAATGTAATGCTAGTTAAGTAGTTTAATTTTAAGATATTTATACATTTTAAAATTTCCAAGTATTAGACGTTAATATTCTAATTTAAGCATAATCAGATATGTTTTTATCTATGACCTATCCTTCCTTGGTTTTTTTCACAAGTTTTCATATTGTTCATTCTCCCGGGTTAATGTTAGTTTTGTATTTTTTTTTAAATCCACTTAAACAAAAGAAAAATTAATTATATTTTAATACTTTGATAATTTTTGTATATATTTTATATTCTAATGAGCTAGATATCACGTTAGTAACGTCAAATGTTTGTACACCTATGTTTTAGTCACTGGATACAACAACTAAAATAATGTTTCAAAGTACAAGGATTATCATTTTGTTTCCTGATATACAACCAATATCCCAGGGCATTTTTCAATGTTTACTAACGTTATTCATTTTTTCAAAATATGTTCCGTCATGTTTAAAATGTTTTTTTGTTCTAACTGTCAAGTCCCGTATTTTAACTTGTATGTAAATAAAATGTAAATGTATTTGTTTAGTAATAAAAAGACATAAAATAAACATATTTGAGTGTGCATTATTTTATCCCTAGTAAGTCAAATTAGTATACAGAGAATGACAAATACACTTTGGTTCATTTTGTACCCACTTATCTTGTACGCCAAGCCTCATAAAATAATATCGGGAAAACCCAAATTGAGTTTTATTACTGTTAGACGAGGAACATCGAAACTGCAAGTAATCCTCATCTTTTAATGAACATCAATACACCCCCAAATTAAAAACTGAGAATTGAATTTATATAGAAAAAATATACTTGTACAAGTGCCCTCCCCCACCGAAACTTAAGTCTGCCCTCCCGAAAATATCAAGCGAAAAAAGTCTGAAAGAAACTATGTACTTGAGGAAAATACAAGTTTTTTTTAGTCAAAATAAATGTCTTTTTTCTAAATGTCTGTCGATATAAACTGTGTTGTTAAAACAACAACCGTTTGTTTTCTATAAGTTTCCCATAATAAACGATATGTAGCTAACTAGAACCAGCTTGTTTTCAAGATGCCGCCCTTGTACCAGATAAAAACCATCCGACAGATGCTGGACCATCTGGAACATCAAAGAGAAGTGGTCAGTCCAGTATTACATATGTTAAATATGGTAAGTGTCCAGTATTACACACGTTAAATAAGGTAAGTGTCCAGTATTACACACGTTAAATAAGGTTAGTGTCCAGTATTACACACGTTAAATAAGGTAAGTCTCCAGTGTTACACATGTTAAATGAGGTAAGTGCCAAATACTACTTATGTTAAATAAGGTAAGTATCGACTTTTCACATGTAAAAAATAGTATATGTTTACACATAATTGCACAATGTAATTGTTGTTATTGCACAGTATGTGTTTAGTCCAGTATAACATAGAGTAATTCAAGTTAATGTACAGTCAAGTATTACAAAAGTTAAATAAGATAAATGTTCAGTATTACGCATGCTGAATAATTAGGCCTATTATACATATTATATTGTTTGTAAAATGCGACTGCATTGTTTTTGAAGAATACTTTCTCGGTCCTGTGTTAATAGACTAGTGACCTGAAATAATTATGTCTCTAATGACAGGCCATTGATGAATGCCAATACTGGATAAATGACGGTAACAACAAATCGTTTAAAGAAATGATGCTACATTTGGAGGACATAAATATTTCAACATTAGAACAAGTGTCAGCGTTGTTATGTACTGCTAAGTGCTGTTGATTATTTGATTGGTAGACTATGTACAAAGACTGGTAGTTATAATATAAAGCTGTGCACGATTGGGTAACTTTAATGTTTTCCTTCTACCATTTCACTCTACAGGTCAAATTAGCGCTTTGTCTACTTATTCCAATCAGTGTAGTTTGCTGTCTACTGCTTCTTGACTCAATGATGTAGGGTAGGCCTACCCACTTCATAAACCTTTCTGATTATTTCCATTGGATATTGTATTTATCTATCACTTTCATCCGCACAGTTCAACATGCTTTCTAGATGCCCTAGCTATCGCAATCTTTGTTTATATTTCTATCAGTATTCTACGTTGTTTGGTTGGTTAACATTCAACTTACATTCCCCACTGCTATAAATTAGTACCTGTCTTTTATAAATTGGGTGTTTTATTTTCATATTTATGTTCTTATTTTACATTACGGTAAGGCTGCTAAATAATGATTTGTTGCCAGTAGATATTGTTTCATTAAGATAGTTTGTTTTTTCTATAGACTTTTAATTTGTTTTTGAAATTCTGATTTCTTCTTGTAGTTTATGTATTAATATATTGTTCGTTTTACATTTCGTTATTTTAGCTACTACCAAAATGTTTACATGTTGAATCGGGAATAGATCAGTAAATGTATTTGAGATATTTTTAAAGATAATTTTCGTTACATAATATCTTTTAATTGGACATCAGGAGACCACCTGTATGGATCAGAGAACTCAGGACAGACAGAAGCCAACATTTCCTCCACCAACTCACCAATGATCAGCACAAATGTTGTAGCTTCACTAGAGCCGTCACAACAAGACAACACAGAGGACAAAACATGCAGCAAGTTTGGTGAGGGATAGATTATACTGAAGGGCAATAAAGTTATGATTGGTTTTAGATTTTAGACAATTTTTGACCTGTTATGTTTTCTTTTCGGCAGTAGTCAACAGTATTATGTTATTCAGGATGTTGAGACATCGTTGTGCATATTATTTTGAATGTTTTAAATAACAAATTGTGTGCTATACATATTAAACATCCAAAAATAATTATAGTAAACATAGTATAATAGAAACACAGCAAATATGCAGCAGTAACAATTTAAAAAGTGCAGGTATAAAACTGATTGGTAACGAATAAATTATTTTATACTCTTTTCTTCATTAAATCAATTTATCAATGCATTTTATATTTAAATCCGACATTTTGTATCCAGTGACCATAGAAGAGCTTCAGTCTCTGCTACACAAGCTAGACATCACTTACATGGCAACTGGTTCACTAGAAAGAAAATATCTCCAGATAGAAGAAAATATCAACACAGTCAATGATAAACTCACACGTTTTGATGGCAAGCTAAAATCTCAAGCAAAGAAATTAAAACAACAAGATAGACGGGTAGAAGAGATAGAAAAAAACATGGATGTGCTGACAGAAAAAGTAGAAGAACAATATAACGCGACACAAAGACATTCTGATAACATAAGGCAAATTATGACGTCAATACAAGAAATAAATGAAGCTAGCTGTGACAACAAGAAACACATAGAAGAGTTAAGTGTTGTCACTAAAGATCTGGTCAAGAAAACAAACGATCATGAAACCTCTGTCCAAGATATATTAGAAAGTTTGTCTAGAACTGATACAAAACTAACAAATGCAGAATTAAAAGTAACTATACATTCTTATCTTTATAACGTTATGTCCATTCCAAATTAAACTCTTAAAAATACTACGTTACATTTTGAATGAAACCTTTAATTAGATAAAAGAAAGCTTTAGATTGGTGAAAACTAACCTAACCCCCTTGATGCATTGAAGGCGAGGCGATTGGTTGCCGCGATGAAGGGTAGGTTCGAATCCCGTTGGGTTCTGACTGTGGACTATATTCTGTACCTTTGTCTACCCTTGGTGTTGAAATATCACTTTCTGTTTATATTACTATTTCAGTTACAACGCCTGCTTCCATCTCCATCTACATGTAAAATTATAGATAATCACATATCAGTAACAACTAAATTACACCCTTATAACATTTAAAATAACATACGTAACAACCAAACTAACCCCTTTATATCTTTACAGACTGGAGCTATGTGTCAAGTACTGACTAAAAGATTTTCACAATTTGAGTCTTTACAAAATGTCTTCAATCAACTAATGAAATCAAGAGAACAAAGCGTTTTTCAGGTATTAGATATGTTAATTTTACATTAGGTTTTCGGGTATATTGAATCGTAAATTAGATTTAATGGCGTGTTTCAACGGTAGACTAGGAATTTTTTATGAATTCAAAGTTAATGTAAGCTCAATGTAGGTCTTTATGTTTGTTTCATGTACTTTTTCAGTTAACCGAAAAGCTGAATGTGTTAAGTAAGTATATCGGCAAAATGTGATATATTAATATTTTTATATCAGATATCTAAATTTTGCGTGTTAAAATTGTATCAAGTTTTGTCATAAATTAATCATGAAAGTCTTTACACACTTACGATATAGATTATAAAGTAATAGGTTATCAATGAACAAATGCTATCGTGATCATCTTTTTTTTATTTTATACAGAGACAAAATGTCAATCTAATGTTGGGTTTAGTGCCAGGATAAAACATGTACCCCTCACGGCTGATGACGTCATTACAGATTTTAGAAAAGTGTTATGTAATACTGGTGGATGCTTTCAACCAACGACTGGAGAATTTACAGTACCCACAGACGGACTTTACTGTCTCAGTTTAAATGTAGATACATTGATCAAAGGTAACGCAGTAATTGGCTTATATCGCAAACGTGTGTCTACAAAAACCAAGACAACAAATACACAAGTTCCAAAAACGCCGTCAGATTGTAAAGACAAGACATTTGTCTATGACAGTGACAGATACACAGAAGATTATATAACTTGTGTTAGGGTAACTGATGACGTCACATCTGGGTCGTGTGCAACTGTTCTAAAACTACAACAGGGAAATAAATTGTATTTAAAGGTTATCCTATTAAGCAAGGATGTACTTTTATGTGAAAACTCACTATTTAGTTGTTTTCAAATATGATGCTAAAACGGTCGCGTCAAAAAAGTAAGAAATATAAAAGTGTTGCCTTGGTTACTACATATAAATTTTAGACCATGTCAACAGCATAGGGAAGGGGTCGGCATCTTTTGATACGCAAGAGGCAAAGTTTACAATTTACAAACTTTCCCAGTTTTTAAAGAGCCACAATATTTTTAGTTCAATACTCGGTATTTGATTAGGATTAGGTAAATAAAGTTGATTTGTTATTTAAAATAAATAGCTTTAAATATGAAATAATATTTATTCATATGAAAACTAGACATGTTTCGCCAGAATAGTAAAATTAGTAATCAAATAATATTATTCTAGGACAGAAACTTTTGAGACGGAAGAGCCAAAAGATACAATTTTAGATTTCCCAGATTTTAAAGAGCCACTAACATTTGTATATCAATTTTATGATATTTTTAAGGATTATATATATATATATATATATATATATATATATATATATATATATATATATATATATATATATAACCACTCCACAAATGTTTGTTTTTAAAACCTATCAATTTTATTTGAAGCGAACCATCTTAAATTCCAAATAGCTATAAGTTTTTGTCATTTGTTTTTGTGTGATGAGAGGATCTACTATGAACGTCAGAGTACTTGCATTTGCTTTGATTGGCTCAAATCTCTCTGTGAACTCATCCTTCACTTTTTTTATAGTAATGCCAAAATAGTTCATGTTAATAGTAGTGTTGGTTTTATCACGAAATTTTGTTTTATAGTTTTTAAAATAAAGTAATTTACCGCTGTCCGTGTCTTCAACAAAGTGAATTTTAAAAACAAACAAAACAAAACACTTCTTCAAGCAAGGCGTAGGTTGGGTTTTCCTTTCCTTTCTTACATTTAGCTCGTTTAATTTCTTTGTGATATCCACCATGAAGTTGAATGTATCGATTTGGGATAGGCAAGTTAATTGGAAGTAGGGCCTACATTGAAATAGGAGTCGTTAATATTCTTGTAGAATAGCGAGTGCTTATTGTTTATGTTTATTATTATATCGTTCATTACCGAGTGTTGCGAGCCGCAAGTTGCCGACCCCTGTTCTAGGACTATCTCAATCCACTTTAGAAGCTTTTAATTTTAATTTAATTTTTTCTTTACGGATATCGCTGGCTCAGGAGGTGTCTCCCATTAGCCAGCCAGGCCTCAACACGGCAAACGCCGACTAACTGGTTTAGATATCGGTTTGAATAACTTGCATCGTTCGCTTTTATCCTTTGGTTCTCACCAGGCTTATCTTCCATCTAACTGAACGCAGGTTAAAGTCGTACGCCCCCGTCAAGTAAAAATGAAATTATATGACTATTAATATTTGTTCAAGCAGCTGGAGAGCCGCATCCGGACGTCATAAGAGCCGCATGCGGCTCGCGAGCCGCAGGTTGCCGACCCCTGGCCTAGGGGAAGTAATTTTAATTTATATAACGTAGCTTTTTCACTTACTATTTAGAAGGTTTACTACTTAATTATAAAATGTATTGGTCGTTCATTTACATGCAGTTTTATTTTGTATACAACAATTATGAAATTTATTCGTAACATATAACTGTTAGAGAAATATTTACAACGGCGTTCGGTTTTGCCACAATTTAAAAAAATCGCCTTAGCACTGAAACGCGACTAATACTTAAATTTGGCACACGGGCACCCGATGGCTTGAATGAACAGGTATCTTTCACCTAACCAACCCCCCTCCCGCATACACCACGCCCCCAACCCCACCCCTATACGGTGTCCAAGCGTCCTTCTTACGCGTCTTTTCTTTTGGATATCGTGGCTAGCAGACAAGACGTGTTTTCACTGTCGAGTTAAGTCAAAAATGTGTAACTGTTTGTCTTTATTTGTCTAATCTGTAACCACACTGTTGTGTGCTGAAGAAGACCTTGGGTCGAAACGTCCATAGTACTTGTAACTGCCTTTAACTTGTTAGGTAACTAACACTATCTGTTTTATTAATAAAAGTTATCGTGTTCACAGACACACAGAGACACATCCACAAATTCACACAGACAAACACACACACTTACGGGAAAAAATTGCAAAACTATGTTTTTCTACTCAGGAAGGTGTAAAAGGTCGAAATTTGTGAAAAAAAAAAACTCACACTATGTCCCCACACTACTTTTGTTTTAATAAAGTTAATCTAGGCTACGTATGAACACTACTATTATAAGTAGACTTTAATCTACGTTCCCAAGGTACATTTAAACGTAGCTTAAGCAACGTGACCACGCTGCATTTACAAGTAGTTTGAAACATGAAAATATTATACAGCACTCGCCGTCTCAGCCAAACTCTGCACTGGCTTTTGTGAAAAGACCTTGTTTGTAAAGGACAGTAACATGTGTGTTTATTCAGCGCTGCCCGGCTCTTGAGAATGTATTAAATTTTCAACAATATGCAATCACATATAACTCTAAACATAACTCCAAACCTAACCCTAATAACTGTCACACCCCATTTCGTCTATACGTGTGACTTACTTAATAACTCAAGATTTCTGTTATACTTTTATTTGCACAATATTCATATCGCCCCCTCATACGGGGCAACATATTCACAAATATCCAACATCATGTAATAGCAATAAGAGTATCCATAAAATATTACATTAGTTATTGAAAAAACTTCCAGACACAAAATTACGTCTTTTCTCACCAAGTCTCAGAATTACACTCTATCCAATATGGCTACCCGATCGCACTACAACATCAGGGGACATAACTCACTGAGGACAGGGACAGGGTGGGTGGGGGGGGGGGTGGACAAGTACACAGAGGGAAAGTGGGACTACATAACTTGTCCATGTCCTGAATGTGACAATTCAGACGCACCCAACAAAGTGTGGTGGAGGGTTACTGTAGTAACGGCTAGACATGTGGTGTTTGATGTGAGTGAGGCGAGAGAGTCCAGCTGTAGGTTGTGGTTTGATGATGATACAAGCCCAGTAGTCAACATTTACGGGCGGTGGATGGGTGGTGTCTTAGAGACTGACGGAGACTTGTGTTGGCTGTATTGTGCGACACATGACTTAGATTTAGGTGATAAACTGGAAGAGTTGGTGAGGTGGTATGATGGTCTACTCGAGAAAATAAGGGATGAATACAACAGTCTTAGAGATATGGGCAAGCTAACAATTATAGTATCACATCCGCACGGTTGTTCTAAGCAGATCTCTATAGGTCACTGGGTACACAGGCAAGTGGTGGATGGCAGGACCAGGTACACGTATACTACATGTACCTGCCCAGGTAGCAGTGGGGCTCTGGTCTACAGACTTGGGTATGACTGGGGGTCTGGCCATCCCCACAGTGGAGGTAACTCTAACCCTAACTCTGGTCAATTAAATTATAGTGGAGTAAACTGGGACTAAGCAATATGCCGGTATGTCTTAGCTAGAATGCAAACAAAACATGTGTGAACTATCCATAACTCTTGTATATTCTTGTATAACAGAAAATGTTAAGATACTTTCAATGCAATCGATTGTAGGCCTACACTTTTTAAAAATTATTTCTTTAAATACTTATTTAAAAAAAAAAAATGAATAAAATCACGAAGAAAAAGAATTGACCACCTAAATAAGGCTAACAGTATGTGAATAATTGACAAAAAAATATAGTGTTTTAGTATTAT